TCTGTTTCCTGAGAGCAACAAACTCATTAGTCATATGCTCTTCCTTCCAAGTTATAGCAGATGGCAACTTTTAGCATCACATAATATGGACAATGGATCTCCAATGCTCTAGCCTCTGATGTTAGTTTCTTCATAACCTGGCACGCAACTCGTAGGACAGTGCCCATTCTTAAAATTTTTTTTTTCATTGTAACGTTCCAGCTCAGATGACTGATTACTCCTACATCAGTCAGATTTTGTCAGGAAAATAGAAAATACTCTAGGTATTTGGAGTCAGACGTTGTTTATGATAGGGTTTAAGCATGGGGGGCAGGAGAGGAAGCATCGGAAAGGCTCTCTGCATGCGATGCAGAAGCCCAGGTATCACAGAAGAGATGCCAGCATGGTTTGGGCTGTGAGCACCCGGAAGGGACGGTGTTCACGAGGCTGCTTGGAAACCATGGGCAGTCCTGTGCTCTACGATCTTTAATGCTGCACACATGCCTGCAACTTGTCTGGACAGTGACTCCCCTTTCCTTCGGCTTTCCAGTATCATAAAATAGCTTGCAGTAGTGGAACCTAACTGGAGTCTTATAGGCAAGAGATTTAGGCAAATGAGGTTTTAAGGCTTTACAGCCCTTCAAGGCAGGAAAGACCTCAGAGGGGTAGAAATGCTGTTGTGCAGCAACAACTGGTAGGTGGCACAGACAGGAACTTGCTCAACTTCAATAGTGGGCATTTTAAGAAAATATACACTAAAGCCCTGGCTGATGTAGCTCAGTGGATTGAGCGCGCGCAAGCCTGCGAACCAGACATTCATGGTTCGATCCCCAGTCAGGGCACATGCCTGGGTTGCAGGCCGGTTCCCTGTAGGCTAGTTTCCAACAGGGGACACAGGAAAGGCAACCATACATCGATATTTCTCTCCCTCTCTCCTTCCCTTCCCCTCTAAAGGTAAATAAATAAAATCTTAAAAAAAAAGAAAATATACACTAATTATAATTCTTAATCCTGAAATCCCTTCAAGTCAGGACAAAATAAGGCTCCTGCTAGCATCACTTCTCAACGTTATGTGAGAGGCTGAGGCAATGCAGGAGAATAAGAGAAAAACAATGAAAACTTGAGAGGACAAAACAACACTATCATTATTTGTAGAAAATGTGATTCTCTACATAAAAATACAGGATAACCTATAAATTTTAACTAAGAAATTTGTTTACAAAATTAGTTGTTTTCTAATATATCAGGAACAATTAGAATGTAGAATTTTAAAACATCACTATTTACAACAGCAATAAAATACTGAGATATATGTACGTGTATATAAACTAAAGGATAACAATAAAATATGAGTATAACAATGTGGAGAAGTTCTAAAACTTTTCAAAAGAAGCAACAGGAAACTAAATAAGTACCATGAACAGGTATACCTTGTTCATGGTATGTGAACATCAAAGAATATTTCGTATCTTTCCTAATGTAATCCATATATCCAGTACAATTCCAATTGAAATCCCGACAGTGTTTTTTGGTATGTTTTGCCTTTTAAAAAAATAAAACTTGATAAGCTGCTTCTAAAATTCATATGCAAGAGCTAGTTAAACTAAACAAAAACTTAAACTAACTTAGGTTTTTAAGAAGATAACAGAGGGATTCTTCCTAGACCGATTATAGAATGGTGATAATAAGTATTTTGAGGCCTACAGAAATGCACCCAAACTCAGAAACTTGACATCTAACAGACATTGTTTTACAAATCAGCTGGGAGATCATGGACTATTTAATGAATAATGCTTCCCATCTGGCAAAATAATTAGACCCCTGCTTCACATCACACACAAAGATTAATTTCAGGTGTCCTAAAAATTAAATGTAGTAAGGCAGACAGAGAAAGACAAATATTGTATGATCTCACTGATATGTGGTATCTTAAAAAAAAGAAAGATAACTACAGAGAACAGATTGGTGGTTTCCAGAGATGGGAACTGCGGGGAGTGAAATGGGTGAAGGTGATCAAATGGTACAAACTTTCAGTTATAAGATGAGTAAGTCCTGGCGAGGTAACATACAGCACAGTGACTGTAGTTAACAATACTGTATTGTATGCTTGAAAGCTGCTAAGAGAGTAGATCTTAGAAGTTCTCATGACAAGAAAAACAACTTGTACCCAGTGTGGTCAGGGATGATAACCAACCTTATGGTGGCGATCACTTCGCAAAATGACAAAAGGTCCCCCTTGAGCTAGAACGGTCAGCAGCATTTCCTTCTTTCAGTCAGGTGTCCTCAGACTGGATTGTTGATAAAAGTGTTATTTTCCCTTTTGGTCACTTACAGTGCAGCGTCAGTGGTGGAGGTTTTGTGGTAAGGTTCGGCCTTTCTTGTCATCAGAAAACAATCTTGTGACAAGATAAAGCTTGAAATGGCTCTCTGTGAAGTGATCAGGGCTTTGCAAGATTGAGTCAGTTCCCACTGCAATACTGGCAGCAGCATTCCCAGAGCGGTTTGGTGACTGAATTAACTTCCCTTCAGGAATCACGCAGCCCTTTGCAGCTGCAGAAACACAAATTCACTCCCCGTTGTCGGTTTCCTGACAGCTCTTCCACAGAGCAGTTCGAAGAGCGGAGAGCTGTTTCGGAGACACAGGAGCGTTTTCCCACCTGAAGTGTAATTTCACACCTTGTGTTTCTCAGCAGATAAGTGCATAAAATAACACATTGAACCGGAATAGAAAAAGATCAACATAGAAAGAAAACTGCAGGTTGTAATTTGTTTCCGATCGTACAATGCTCTTGTAGAGAACGGTAAATTACAGAGGCCTGGGAGTTTGCACTTTTTAAAAGTTTGACTGGCTTTAGGTGGGAAAGTGAGCAGTGAACATAATCAGCTTTTAGCCTGAACAGGTGTCCAGGAGAACAGAATTTGAGAAACACCTTAGCATTTAGGATTTTTTAAAAAGAATAGAGAACACATAAGCTGGTAAAACTTGCAGTTAAAAAAAAAGTCAAGAAATACATTAGTTTTAGTAAAAATATAATCGTCTTAGCAGATGATGTTCTTTTAATGATCCCTTCAGAGATTTCAGCAACAGTGGTAGATGATATCAGTGATTTGGATATTTTCTTTCCTTTCTGTAAATGACTAAACGTATGATGCTAGTTGCCATTTTACAGCGTCTAGGGCAATGATAATAAAACATATAGCTGTATTTTGCAGGTCTGAAAAATCTTGAGACCAAAAGAAAAAAGGAAGTTGAGCCTCCTGGCCAGTCATGAACATTTATTACAAAGTATTTCATACTTATTGGATGCCTACTACATGTTAGACCCTGGGTCAGGGCATCGGGGCACAGCGGTAAACAAGGCAGTTCCTCTTTCACTCCTGGGATGCCCATAGTCTTGCAGATGAGCAAACAGGCAATGAAACACCGCACTCGGTGATAAGTGAAAACTCGATTTTTAAAAACATTTTAACTTTTTTCCAATTCCAGTCTATATGCAATATTACTTTGAACCACTTTCAGGTGTAAGCATAGTGGTTAGACAATCACGTACTTTGAGAAATGGCCCCTGCCCAATATTTCCAGTACCCATCTGTTAGCACACGGAGTCACTGCAATATTATTGACTCCATTTCCTGTGCTGTACTTTATATCCCTGTGCCCATTTTGTGACTGCCAATCCATACCTCTCAATTCCTTCACTTGTTTTCACCTACTCCTCTAACCTTCCTCTTCTCTGGCAGCCCCCAGTCTGTTCTCTGTATCTATGAATCTGTAAAACTTGATTTTGATGAAGCCCACAGGAGGGATATCTGAACTGGGTTGGTGGGGAGGGAGAGTGGTCAGCAAAAATGCCTGGATAAAGTGATGTCCAAACCAAACTGAGAATAGATGTCATGTGGAGGTGGTATCATTTGGGATATTAGGGCCCGGACAGCTAGGGCAGAAGTGAAAGGGCGAGAGAGCAGGTGGGGGTGGGGGGATAAAGGTAGTTCCAAATAGGTGGATTACAACGGAAAAGGCAACAATGGAGGAAAACAGGGCCTAAATAAGTAGTCTCTACCAAGAAATTTAGTTTTATCCTGAGACTAGTGGGAAGTATTGAAAGTTTAGTTTTTGCTAATTAGTGAGAGTAACACGAGCAGATATGCATTTGACAAATACCACTCTAACCAGTGACTGGTGTTTGGTGAGTAAGTGTGCAGCGATGCAGTTGAGATTTCAGCCATGGTAGACACCAAGAGTTCAATGGCATAGGAGATGGGGAAAAAGTTGGCTGATTTGAGAACTATTTAGGAGGGAGAACCAATAATACTTGGTGATTCATTGGCTGGACCAGGTTGAGGAGGTCAGTCTTGTCAAAAATGTAGTCCTGGTTTCTGATTTGGATCATGAGCTTATGATGCTACCATTCACAGAGATGGGGACCCTGGGGCAGCAAGTTGTTGAGGGTTAGGAAAATGATGTGTGAAATGTGTGTGCAATGTCCGTGAAGAGAAATGTGGTATTTGGTTGGGTCTTGAGTTTGAGAGAGAAGTCTAGTCCAGATGTACAGATCTGGTTGTTGGCACTGAGTAGGTGACATGGTCCAAAGAATGTGTACACAGTGAAAAAAGAAGACTCTAACTCAAGCATAAAACAGTATTTTGACTATGGAAAGAAAACCATGTAGAGCAAAATGTAGATATTTGTTACATAAATAAAAGGCGAATAAAAAAAAACTGTGCACGTCCACAAACACCACTACATGTATGTATAGGTGTGTATACACTCCCGCACATGTAGAGCTTCTAATGAGCATCAGCAAGGTGCCCAATAGTGGGCTGTGTGGCACATTAGACATTCAAGTTAATAGTCCCTTTCCTTAATCATTCACATAAGATGTTAGTCCTACAGCAAGTACCAGGCCTAAGAATGCCGATCAGTATGTTAAAAGAAAAATTTGCTACCTGTGTAAACATTGCAACTGGACTGGCAGAGCACAAAGCACTGATGTTTTCTCATTTCCGTTGTTTTTTCTTAGATACATATGGAAAACTCTTCCTCCTCAATTCTGTGGGTCAAGAGATGTCCCGCTGCAAGACATCTATTCGACGTGGTCAGCCCAATCCTGTCTATAAGGAGACCTTTGTTTTCCAGGTGGCCCTCTTTCAGCTCTCTGATGTCACGCTGATGATTTCCATTTATAACAGGCGTACTATGAAGCGCAAAGAGATGATTGGTTGGATTGCCCTGGGCCAAAACAGCAGTGGAGAGGAGGAACAAGACCACTGGGAGGAAATGAAGGAGACCAAAGGCCAGCAGGTCTGCAGGTGGCATAGCTTGCTTGAGTCCTAGGTCTATCAACAGGTGTCTTTATGCTACATCCATTCTGGTGGCCCTAGGTGTTGACTACCAACACCAGCTCAGTGAATGCTAGCAGTCTTTTCAAAGACAGGCTTTCAAATAGGGGTTCAGTTCCACTAACTCCTAGGACATTCTGTGTGTGGGGGGGTGGGGAGATGGGCATCTTTGGGTTTCTCAAAGGTTTGATTTGAATTTAAGTATTGTAATTAAAAAAAATTCTACATATACAGTCAACTATGTGGAAAATGTTACCATAGTTGTAAGCAGTGATGATGCATTAATTTGTGTTAATAGGTTATTGAGTTTCAGTTCAGGCTCTGAATGAAGCCTCTCCTACTCCCTTTTCTGTTTGCTTGAAGAGTAACCTGAGATCACAAGGGAGCTGATAAATGTTACTATTTGCAACCACTTATGTGTATGATTCAGAATTTTATTACTATGGTGCAAAAAACTCCAAAACACAGAAATGAATCAGACACTGAGGCTCAAAGAGGAATGTAACTGTTACCCATCGTCCCTGATTTCACATTTTTCTCTTCATCAAAACCCCCCCTCATTTATTTACCTAACAAATAAATGTTATATAAACTTGCACTTACAAAACAGATTTGTATTAATTAAATACCTCTTTTTATCTCACTTGTATATTGTGATTTTCCTATGAGGTTAGGTTAGATAAATCATTTTGAAGCTAAAAAATAGTTACAAAAAACCCTACTGTTGAATGACAGCTTGGGTCCTTTGAATATATAAGATTTCAAACTTTTAACTTCCAAGATTTTTATGCTCTTTGTCTCACCAAATAAGCTCTTACAGAATGAGAAGAAAACCAAAAAACCTATTTAAGTCATGGATTTATTGATTTTTTTTCTGAATCTAGTGCTTTCCTTTTAGATCATACTTTTTTATATGCAATTATATACTGAAACATCTATTTTGAATGTATGCCTGCATGTAAACCATATGTTTTTATGCAATATTTTCAATCACTAGAGCATCTTAAGTTGTAAACAATGGGTCTTTAATAATGTTGACTCGATTGACTCTTAGAAATGAACATGTTACAATACCTGTGAGTGGAGAAATATTTCCAGCTTGTATGGAATGACCCTAAGTTTTTCTTGGAGCTTTTGATGTGCCTGGAATTGTCTTGCCACTTGGGAGGGTGACATTGTGCGGTTGTGAGCATGAAATTTTACTTCTGACTGGCTTTTACATGTTTGTGCAGTGCATGTTTCCTTAGTTTTTCTTAGGTCTGAGCCCTTCATTTCGATCCCTTTAAGTGGGCAGTAATAAGAAACAGAAGAGATGTGTGTACTTGAAACGCTGTGCCCACGTGCAGCGCTTGTGAGCGATTGCTCAGTCACTTATTTTTAGCTTTTATGTTTCATTGTTGACTTTCTGCTGTCTATGAGGAGAGTGATAGCTAGTGATGGATGTATACAGTTAAAAACACAGAACTCCCTCTCAGCTCTCCATTTTGACAGATTGCAAATGCAGTCTGTAACACTTGAACATATTTATTCCTTACAGCCGGCAACGGTTATCCTGACAACATGAGAGTCAGGCACACAATAACCCTACCAGGATTTCAAATACCAACTTTGGGGATGAAGCGCTTTCACATAAGGTAATCAGAATAAGCAATTATTTTCAGGTCTTGGGAGTTTCATGTACAATGCTGCTCAGTTAACAGAGAATAAGTAATAAAACCATGCCCCTCAGGGTTTTTACCCCATCCTCCCTTGGAAGACCTCAAAGTGCTTTTCCAACGTCATATCCATTAACTGCTGAGTGGTCTTTGCCGTGTGGCTGTGTCAATAACTGGAACTGAGTGCAATTGATTAAGTGGTGGCACAAAGAGCTGGCTCCTCGCACCCCTCACTCTCTTTATGCGCGTGTGTGTACAGGGAAGCGGAGTAGCCTTGTTATGCCTCCCTTTATGCAGTCACATAAAAGCAGCATTCACTTTAAAATTTACATTTGAAGAAATCTGCATATACTGTGCAGACAGTCCCAGATTTCTCCCCCCTCACATCTCCCTGCCTCATGTGTCACTGTATCTCTTATCTCCTGAGGCCCAATAACCCCCTCGAACTTCCTTCTCTGCTGCCTTGACCCACCCATTTTTAAGGTTTTCTGCTGGTTTGGTAAAGATATTTTTCTGCGTTTGATCTGCTTCCCAATAGTCTGTTTATCCCATATAGTTATAGGAGTGTCAGTATTTTAAGGCAAGGGTTGCCTGAAAGGCATTTTTTAATTTTTATAATTTTACAATATTGGTGCTACTCACCATGTCGGGTGTATGTACATCTTGAATATACAGCAGCAACCACCCTAAAGCTGATGTCTAAATATAAAATGCTAATGATGAGATACATTCATATACGAGGCTGAATTTTTTTACATTGATTTGAAATTCTTGTTTAGTAAGATCTTTCAATTTTGAGCACTTAAGCTCTCTTATTTTCTTGGCAGTCTAGACATGATGCATTGAACATGTTTTTCACTTGAGCTTTTACATGTGCATTTACTTTTCAAAAGATTTATGAAAGATAATTAGTTGGTTCTGAAGTAAAAAAAGCTGCTTTTATGTGTTTTCTCTAGCTCATAATTAATATCTCATAGGGACATTTGAAATTGAGGAAGCATCAGTATTTGTTGCGTGAGTAGTGCGCTCCATGATTTTTCCTGAAGAGGTGCTTTTAAAATAAAATTATTGAAGGATATTGATGCACCGGGTTTATGGAAATTGACTTTCATGTACCTTCTTGTGGGGCGTTGGTTTATAACTGAACTGCGAAGTGCTGGTTTTACCCATCGTGGAGGTGGTGCCTGTGCTCCCAGCCACCCTTCCGATTACTGCTGGGTTTGTAAATGGGCCATTCACCAGGCAGCTGAGCACCTGCTCTCTCTCCTCCCTCCTTCACTAGCTCCCAGTGTGATGCGCAGTTGTTTGGGACCCTATTTTGGCTGTTGTTGCATAACTGTGAGGGGAGGTCTCGCCTTCCTGACAAAAGTACTTGTAATGCTGTTAGCTGTGTTATACTCAGCATTCTTCACCATAACTGCAAGGGGAAAAAGGAGTATAGTAATGCATTGTCATTTGTTCCCTCTGCTCCTCCTTCAAAGACAATAATTGACCTCAAACATCAAGATCCTCCACAGCGTTAGGTCCCACAGGCGGGGTCCCACCAATTTTACAAATTGTTGATACTTTGGCCAGAAACTGTGCTTTACATTCTGGTTGTACTAGGTGGTCTTTTCTGGAAATCAAAAACTCTCTTCTTTTCAGATAAAGCCTTATTCAAGTTGAAATTACTACCAGTTTACACGAAAGTGCTTCTTTGATACAGCCAATGAATTGATTAAATTGGTGGTTCACTGTGGACATTGAATTGTGAGTTTCCCCCAGCCTGGCCATCCTTTTGCTGCAGAGGACACAGAACACTGAGATCAGATAACTGGGCAGGAACGGATTGTTTGCAGGTGACCTAAACCCAAATAAGTGCATATTCTTCAATGACAAGGAGATGACTACAAAACTCATCTGGCATCATCTCCTCTCACCTTTGAGGAAAATGTGGCCAAAGAACATACATTTCATTCTATTTGATTCACGACAAAAGCAACTGACAGGTAATCCTGAAGTGGAAAAGTATTTTTGCCTTAAAAAAATCACTCTTTTGCCCTGGCCAACATGGCTCAGTTGGTAGAGTGTTGTCCTACAAAGCAAAAGGTTGTCAGTTTGATTCCTGGTCAGGACGCAAGTTTAGGTGGTGGATTCAGTCCCTGGTTGGGGTATGTATGTACGAGAGGCAACCGATCAATGTTTCTCTCTTGCATCAATGTTTCTCTCTCTTTCTCCCTCCCTTTCCTTCTCTCTAAAAAAAAATCATTCTTTTATTCCAAAGAAAAAAAAGCTATGCAAACTATAAGAAACAAATAACCGTAATAGGCATATGAAGGAATTAAAGAATAAATAAATAAGCAGGAAAACTTCAGCATCTACCAGCATATATTCTGGAAGAGTAAACTAACAACCCATAAGATATTTCAGGCCAACTGGTTATGATTTTTTTATGTCTGGTGGAATTCTGGAAAATACTCACAGAGGAAGGAAATGAGGCTGGTCTAACACAACTCAGAGACATCGACACGGTCCGTGGTTAGCCCGGGCTGGGGGAGAACTCTGCTAAGGGCTTTGTAGCCTTTAGAAAAACACTTATCCAGCTTGTGTCCCAGTTTCTTTAGGTGGAGAATGGAAATAATATCTACCTCATGAAGTTTTTTAAAAGACATTAAACAAATAACAGCGTAGAGTGCAGCATGTTATAAGCATTCCATATTTTCCCCTCACAATTATGCTTAAAGAGAAAAAGGTATTTAAGATTTATTTCTATTTCTAGTGAAACTAATGGTAGCATTAGAGGAAGACTAGTCTGAATGTGTGAAGCAAGGAAGTCTTCTTGGGGCAACCTGGCAAGAGATATGCTTGTTTGAGGAGGATATAGAGTCTTAATAAATCCCCCAAGAGGTATAATAACCAAACTTTTGTCCCTGCCCACCTTTGGTTTGGAGGAGATGCAAAACCTTTGTGCGTGTGTGTACATTTTAGCAAATCATACACAAGGCCTCTCCTTGTCCCTAGCTCTTCTCTACTATTTGTACCTGGACAGAGCCCCTTGTCACCATCAAAAAGAGTTGGCAAAGAGGGCAACCTGAGTTCACATTTCAACTCTGACCTGAGAAACTAAGGTATTGTAAATGTTGTGGCACTATACTGACACCCTTTTTAAAACAGACACCACTTTTTGGGGGGTCAGTATTATACATCAGCACTATATCCTTATAGGCAAGAATTTTAAGTGGTCTCATAATGCAACTCAAAACGTATCAGACTGGTTGGACTGGGAAATTCTATTTAGGATCAATTATTTACCACTGTTTCCCTTAAGAGATCTTAATGAAATGAGCTTCATCAGAGTTGATAGTGACTTCTTTTTGGAAAGTTTTAAGAGTGAATT